TTACACAATGGAATACCACACAGCAGTAAAAAAGAAGGAATTTAGTGACAGCATGGATGGAACTGGAAACTATTATGCTAAGTGAAATAAGCCAGTGAATAAAAGACAAATACCATATGATCTCAATTATAAGTGGAATCTAATGAACAAATTAAACTAATGAGCAAAAATAGACAAGAGGCATAAAAAAAATCATGGACCAGGCTGACAGGTGTAAGAAGGGAGGAGAAGGTGGGGACTGCTTGAAAGGAAATGAAGGGATTAGTCAAAGACCATTTATGCATGACACATGGACAATGATGTGGGGACTGGCTGGGGGAGTCAGGAGGGCTGGGGGGAGGGGTCAACGGGGGAAACGTTGGGACATCTGTAATAACATACATAATATAATATTTAAAAAGAAAGACATCTCAGTACAATAGAAACAAGTTTTTACATGTAAAATGCCACACAAGAAATAAAGGAATTAGCCTTCAGGTACTTAATAGAGTACTCTTTCCTCTTCACTATTCCCAATACACAGATTTGGAAGCCTAACAACACTTTACCTCTCTGATGTGCCTAAACCAAACTATCTCTTCTCTCTACTTCACTCCTTTTCCCACTTCTTAGTAGTAAGAGAAGAGCATGATAACTACAGCAGTTCACTCTGAAAGTGTAATAGTACAGAAAAAATACTACTTAAAAAGAACAGCATACCTACAAAATGACCCAGCTTCCCTACTCCCAACAAATGTGCCCAAGAGAAGGAAACATATTCACACAGACATGTTCAAAAATGTTCATAGCCACTATATATTTTAAAAATTAATGCCTGTGAACAACTCCTCCTCACCAGATGAATGGATGAACAATTGTGGTACTATTATCTGTACCCGGAAAAGTAATCAGTGGTAAAACAAACAATCCGTGAACTTTCATATACATGCAACAACATAGATGAATCTCAAAACTATTAATATTAGGCTGAGTGAAAAAATCCAGAACCCCTGAAAGAAAACTCAGTGAGTATAAGCTCTATGGTTCCTTTTATATAGCATTCTAAAAAATTCAAACCATTCTTTAGTGATAGTAAGCAGCTTAGTTGCTAGGAGGGGGCAGAAGGTAAAATGAATTATAACGGTACAAAAAACTTTTTTAGAATGATGGATATATTTGTTGTCTTGATTTTCGTTATAGTTTTACATTATAAACATATGTCAAAACCAATAAAGTGGCATAATTTTCATATGTATAATTTAATGTTCTTTATCTGTAACTCAATAAATTTGAAGGAAACAAAGGTCGCTTAAGCTTCAAGTATTTTTTTTCAAAAAATCCTTATTTGACTAAATACATTAAAAAAGAATCCTAGATGGCTCCATAATATAAAATTTGTTTTTCCTATAATTTTATTGGACCTTCATTAATGTCTGCTGTTTCTATATACAAGGCTTCCTATGTGCATCTAAACATGCCAAGATTAGTTATGGGATGTTTGTAAATCACTTCATCAGGAGGACACTTGAAAAAGCTGAGTGTGTTTAGAAATAGAGGCATAATTTCCAAAATGTATTACTTGAACAGTAATTCTTCAGGATACTGATTTCTATTACTCCAAGATGTTGTAACCATTCCTTGAGAAGTCACAGGGCACATTAATGTATTAAAGTCATGGAGAAGTCCTAAAAGCAGGAAACCAGTTTAAATTTAAACAGATATTTCCTCAAATATTTAACGAGAGAGCTCCTTTTAAAGAAGAACATGAAAAAAAATATTTGAAAGACTCGGATGGGCCTGGTGGGTGAAACAGTTGACTTCAGTCATTTGAAGATGAAGTACAAATCCCAGACAACTTGACCAAGGGTGTGTTTATTCTGCCATTATGATCCTGTTACTGTCCCTCAGCCCAAACTGCGATGTCACCAGAATTAAACAAATAGGGTCTGGCCAACAAATTATCTAGGGTGTTGCAGAGAAGATCTATGCATTAAGTAGCATAGTTGAACAAGTGGCTCTTATTCATGTAGTGAATACTTTCTGGACATTGACAGTGTAATGTTAAGTGCCAGAGAAAAATGAATCCTGCTCTACAAGAGATCACATTCTGGCTTGGGAGACAGGATATGCAGGTTATTGCAACACAGGACATTTGCTCAAAGAAAGCTAAGTATTAACTGTTTTTGGAAGTATATCAAAGGGTACCCTAACCTACCCTGAAATGACAGGTTAGCTAAATCCCAATATGTTAGCTTTTATTCCTACACATATTCTAACAGTCAGGAAGCACAAGTTAAAAATTGTTGGGTTAGTCTAGCCTCACTGGGCAAAGTTACTCGCCCAAGTGAAGTACAGTGTGAACTTTTTGAATCCTTGAAGTTATGAAGCAAAACCTATACTTGTTTCCTTAGGGGAAAAAAATCTTAAATGTTTACTCATTGCTTTTTATCTATGCATATTAGATTCATTAATAAGTAGTCTTTTAAATGAATGATTTCACAATACTGCCATTTCTAGACGACACTGAGAGATCATTTTCTTCCATACCCAGATATGGTCAGAAGTATACCATCTTGTGTTCCTTATCCTGTTTTTTTCTAACGTAACTGGAAACATAAATGCATTTCTTTATGAGGGTTCTCCTAAAAGAAATTAAATATTGTGCATTTTATTCTCATCATACGAAGTACCACCAAATTTGGCACTATGCAGTAAATATTTTTAAATGAATGTTTGAATAACCCAATCTTTTAAACTCATTTTATTTTCTAAATTCTTAACTGGAATGTTTGTCACATTTCTTATTTAGTGAGTCTAACTACTATACATTTTGTTACTTGTAATGCCACAAGCTTTATTTTCTGTAAGACAATCTTAATTTCTCAGCCATAGGTTACATTGAAAAAATTTTAAAGACAGAGAGAGAAGACTATGTAATATTAAATGAACTAAAATCCAAGAATTAAGTCAACCAATAAAAAAATATTCTTTATCAGTAGAACAGTTGAAAGCATGCATGCATGCTGCATTCTTGAATCAGGAACTTAATTTTTCCTGGGTACTACGTCTGATAACATTCAATGATAGCTATAAAACAGCTTTAGCCAGAGATGTATTAGTAAAGCAAAGCCAGATTGAGTCTTTGTAGAAAACAACGTCACTCATCCCACTACTCTCCTTAGAATTCTGCCTCATTCTCTCACCTGCTACCATTCAGTGGGGTCAATTAGATGAGTGAGGAGCTCCTCACTCATACTGAGGGGATCCCACCTATATTCCAAGATGAAGACCTGGGAAGTAAATAGCTCCTGCTTTCATAAATTGACATAGACAGGGCCACCAAAATGCTGCCAAAATGATGCTGACATGCTGATTTGGGGTGATGCAAGTGGTTTTGTACTGACAGAAACTCCACAAAAATATTCGCCAAGGGCCTTGAATGCCCCAGGAAAGGCTTGTATTAAAGTGGAAAAGACAGTGTATGTGAGGAAATAAACTATTTGACAACACAGTATTTTTACTATGTATCTTTAGAAACCCAGGCAAAGAAGAGGCAAGCACTGCCTGGTAAAATCAGGTGCAAGTCAGATGAAGATTAAAGGCTGAGCTGGAGTTGACCAGGAAATAAAAAGACATTAAGCCAAGAGTAGAGAGTGGCAGTGAGAAGCTATGCTCAAGAGTATGAGGAGAGGCTCCGTAAAGGTAAAACAGGAGCTCCAAAGGTAAATGGGAAGACACGACCCTCTAGGACGGAGCCAGGAAATTTGTGTTTTTAAGTGTCTTCTCTACTTAGTCTAACATCAATCATGGGAATTTCTGGGATAGAGAAAAGGTGATGGGGTTTTATGTGTAGGTGGAGAGATCACCTGTTTCTATACTAAGTTTCTTAATGTAGTATCTTTGTCATTTAAGAAATTTTTTATATCTTTGTAAACTTAACTTTTTTAAACATCTCAAATGTTCCATGGCTTCAACTATACTGTGTGCTGTAGAAAATAATATCAGGACAAAGTTCTTATTTTTTTTCTTAAATTAATTCATATGAACCAAAAAAATACATTGATTCATACATAAGGTTTTATTTTTCTGCTTTTTCTCCCTTCTAGTTCTCATCCAATTCTTAAGGTTTAAATAAAACCATGTTTTCAATGAGCAAAGCTGTAAACAAAACTAAACTGCATTCCTAAAGAGAAAACTGTGAAATGTTTTGCAAGTGGCAAATATCATAAGACTGAAACACAATATATTTTATAAATCTAAACACACGGTTGTGACGTGGATGGGGAAAACACCTGATTTCTTGTTACTTTTCATCACAAAATTGATTGAAAAGCAGAACGACGCACTTGACAGGGCCATGCCTCAGTCCCATATGCAATTCTGGTCCCTACAGCCAAGATTTTATAGACCATCTCAACTACCCACTCTTCCTAATCCCTGAAATATGTACTAAAAATCTGCCAAAATACAGTTTTCTCCTTTCATTAGTATAAGGTTGAAAAAAGAAGAATTTTGGTGCAAATTATACTGATATCAGGGCAAAACTAGGGTTACTCAGAGGTGCTTTGAATAACAAATTAACAGTCTAGACCAAGATTCCATGGATAACAGGCTTGAGAAGGAAAAGTAAATTATAAATAAAAAGGGGGACACATTTCTAGAAAAATAAATGATTCTAATGATTGTTTCATCTCTTTTATATAGGTTTTAAAATTACAAAATATCCTACTAAATTGTGGAATTATAAGAACTACACTGATGTTCAGAGTGCTTGGTGTTGCTTTCCAGTACCTGGAGGACAGGAGGGCAAACGCATTTACTTTTATTCTTCATTCAAATCCCAAATGTTTGCCCTCTCTGTTTACATTGCAACTTTACACTTGAACTCTTAATATTTGTTCTGCTATGCAAATAACCATATGTTATATTTTAATATACGTCTAATTGCTATACAATTTTATGATGCATATTGTCAAAGACTGTCCTGAATCTTAAGAAAAGAATGATGAATAACAACTTACCGCTTGTGAAGAGAAGAATCCTAGGATCCTGAGAAAAAGGGAGAAAAAAATATTTGACTGAAAGATAAAACACTGATATAAAATTCTACAAGAAATTTGGCTGGGTATAACATCTGTGTATTCTCTTAATAGAAATAAGACCCAAGTTTCAAAATGGTTTCATGATGCTAAAAGAGATTATAATAAGTACGAATCCAACTCAGAGAAGTATACCCATGTGAGAAATGAAGAGTACTAGATGTGGAGTCAGAGGGTGTTAGCTTTAATCATAATGGCTAATTAAGAGCTAGTGGCAGTGGCCTGACGCCCACCCTTTGACCAAACTGAAACTCAGTATTTTTGGCTATAATGTAGAAACATTAATACCACAATTACCAAACTGCACTTACAAAGTGTCAAAACAGTGGGAATCAAAAGTCATAAAATATATAGGAGGAGCTGTACACTGTAAATTCCATGCAAAGAATACTAATTGAGAACCTATGTTTCTAATATTGTGAAAATTAGTGATAATAAATAAAGAGAGGTTCCTATTACTCAGAAATGTAAAACATTAGTATCGTTAGTGTTTTATTTAATCTACATCTCTCATGGTGTAATGGATCTTAATCAAATGCTTTTCTACCTTCTAGAAACTTATATTAATCCCCAGTAAATTTGTGAGTTTATTTTTCATCCTAATGATGCTTAATAGTGTTCAACTTTTGAATTTCTTTCCAATACCTCCACTGAGTCTGGGATCAAGCGAGGTATATACAAAGTAAGAAGCCATTTATATGATATGATTTCAGGGGCCTTGAATAAGGACCACTGGCTTAGGAATAGCACTTCATCTGGTTCAGACCAAATGACTTCTATACCTGGTTAAAGGATACCATAGAATAACCTAGCATATAAACAACTACTAAAAATAGAAGACAAGCTGAACAAAGTGGAATAAATGGCTATGGAAACTTGGATATGTAACAATTACTACTGTCATGGAATAAAGAAGGAATGTGTAAGATATGGTTTCACAGATGACAAGATGAGGCAGACTCAATTAGGCATCAAGGATGTGCCACCATCACAAGTTGGAAGATGGGTCACTGAAGATCTAGAGGAGGCAGAATGAAAGCACAAAGGAATAGTAAAGTGAATGGTACAAATCCAGCATTTTCAAAGACAATTCACTAAAGAATATGTCTGTTTATGCCTGCAATGTGTGTATATTTTTTCATCTTTACATTGCACATTGCCAGAGTGGGGAAAAAAAGAGAAAGGAGGAAAGGAAATAAAGAAGGAGGGAAATAAAATAATTAGTTACCTTTTTCATCCATCAGATGGACATTTTTAAGTGAGGTACAGAAAAAAGCATTCTGAAAAACTTAATAAAAGTGTGTCAACTGGTGAAGCCTTTTTGAAAGGAAATTTAACCAAGTCCATTAAAATGAAAAATGAGCATAACTTTGAAACCAAAATTCTATTTCTATGAATCTGCCTGGCAGTAGTGTAGAAAAAAATTAATTTATTGGTGTATGGGTCATAACAAAAACTAGAAATCAACCTACACATCTGTGAATAAGCACAAGGCTAAAAATAAACTATAGTCTATTAATATAAAGGGAATAGGATTTATTTATACTTTCTGATATAGCAAACCACAATACATATATTTATGGAAACAAGTAAATTGCTGAGGAAAAATTACCAAATATCACTTAAAATATCTTAAGAAAAAACAAAGTTATTAACTGCGGCTATTTTTGGAGGAAAAGCTTTTACTTTTCATATACTGGCAAGTTTTACTATTTTATTCTGAGCATATATCCGTCTTAAAATAAAATAAATAGAATGACTAATAGTATTGAAATAATAAGCAAAAGCATATTACATTAAAATAATATAACCATTACAGTTATTAAAGACATGAATTATAAAATGAAAGACGGAAACAAAGAAGGAAAAGTTAAAAAAAGGAAATTGTAGAAGAGGAGAGAGAATTGGGTACAAGTAGTTGTAAAAGGGGCAGTGGTGGCTTCCGGGCGAAAATCATTACACAACAAGAGTTTCCTCTGGCATGCTAAGAAGCTGGACTTCCCAGTGCTCCTTAATGCTGGGTGCACACTACAATCACCTGCTGGGTGCTTTAAAAACAAGCATGCCTAACTCCAAACCAGATCAATTAAATCACCTTGGTGTTTTAAAAAACAAAAATATATGGAAGATTATGCTAAGTGAAATAAGCCACTCAGAAAAAGACAAATAAACACCATATGATTTCACTCATATGTGGAATCTAATGAACAAAGTGAACTAACAAGCAAAATAGAGACAGACTCATTGATAGAGAGCAGGCTGACAGCTCTGGATGGGGAGGGCTGAGGGTGGAGGGATCAAGCTAAAAAGGAAAAAGACTCATGGACAACAGTGTGGTTATTGTGGGGGTATGCGGATGGGTGGAGGTGGAAGAGGTATAAGGGGGTTAAATGGTAATAGAAAAAAATACGATAAAAAAACCAAAAAAATTTAAAAGTTAAATTAAATTTTAAAAATAAATAAAAAATAAAAACACTAGTATAGTCAAAGGATTTAGCAAAGGTTGCTTGCTATTCGGGTTTTGCTATTTGTTTCCGTCTCTTGTTCTTTTTTGTTTTGTTTCAGAAGGTAGGATAAACACACAAGCCGTATTAATCTAGATAAGTCTGGTGATGCGTGGAGGAGAAAATGGAGTGGGAGAAGATGAGAAATAACCTTGTTAAGTCACTACCAGACTTAACAGTGCAGGACAAGGTTTTGACCAAATGGCCAACCAAGCAGTGGGGTTTAAATGCAGTCTTGTCATGAAGCAAGGGCAGCCTGAGGACAGAATGAAAGCACTGAGCAACAAAGACCTAACCAGGTTTGTGCATATGCTGCTCGTCGGGCTCTGGCCTGGCACCTTACACATATAATTTCATTTCTTAGACAGCTCCACATGGAGAAAAGCAGCCTGGAGTCAGATACTGCCTGCCACAAAATTCAGCTCAAAGTCAACTATTTCAAGGATTATAAACAAAACAAAACAAAATGAATGAACCATTAAAACTCAATAATATTTTTTAAGTTAAATAAAATGATTACCCAAGGTCCTCAAATTGTCAACCTGCTCTTCTGCCCTGTTCCCCCCAAGCACAGTATCTGAGTTATCACTGGAATTTTACCCTGGAAGGGCACTGTTGACAGTCTCCACTGCATGACAGGAATTAAACAAAAGCTGTTTGGAGGCAGAAGGCAAGTCTGAGTGGCAACCATCTGAACACAGCAGAATATAAAAAGTAGACGCTCTGCAAACTCCCATTTTCTGCAGGAGAGGCTGTGAAATAGTAATTACCTATATTTCCAATTGAAAAGGAATAAAACTGTACTTGACAACTGCATTTAAGAGCACTCAAACGAAGTGGCAAGGTACAAATTTTCTGTGAAAATCACAGACCCTCGTTAGTCATCTCACAACTAATGAAAGAAAAATGAGACAGAGACCACCCACCTCATCTCGGTATGTTGCTGCATTCAGTTCAATGAAATCCTCTCTGTAATTCACTGAGAAATTGAGGGCATTCACCAGATGGGCAGCCACGTGCACACCTACAGAATCACACAGAGCACAAGTCAGTGGGATTTTCAGATATGTTCTATGAAGAGGAATCAGTTCCTGTCTCTCAGTAAACATAGGGTCAAACTTTCACAGCTACATGAGCGATAAATATTAAATTTAAAAGAGGAGTTTTAAAGACACAAACAATCTTGATTATAGATAATTTCAGTACTTAAAATCATGTAAAGAAACTGTATTTTCAAAGGCTAGAATAACTCTAGTAAGTGAAGGTTAGAAAAAAATACACATGTGCACACACATATACACTTACAAAAGCAAGTAATATAATAATTTGGGCATTTACTTATTTCCTGGATATTTTAGATGTTCCACACCTTTCACCTCCTCCGTAAGTCCAAACCTGTTATATATCTTGTATATTTCACTGCCACTCAACCAAATACATAGGCTCACTGAAAGGCCCTTAACTAGAGAAAACTTTTCACAATCTACAAATTTAAATCATAATGTCCTAAACCCAATAGCAAAAGTGTTGGTAACCATGTGACAAAGACTCTGAGAAATAATAAGTACCACTTAATTATCTATCTACAATGTCACAATAAACAGAGTGCTCAACTGACTCAGAGCTCATACAAGATATAAAAGTTTTAGAAAATTACTAAATAGTTGAAGACAAATTCATTTTGGCATGTCAGGGAAACAAATTATCGAGGAAATGGGATAAGGAAGGAGCAAATGACCTTGTGTATTGAACTGTAATGCCCTCTTCCTTTTCCAGACTTTTCTTGTAGGTGAAATACGGTTTGAATTAACACTATATTATAATTTAGTGGAAAGAACAACAGATAATTAGTTAGGAACTCATGTTCTTGGCTTGTATTGCTTGCCTACCAGCACCTCAAGTTACTTCTCTATAAAATGACAAAAATAAGACACTTATGAAATAAGTGACCAAAATTGCTTAGTAAATCATCAGAGTTTACACAAATACAGGGAGGTAGTGATTTAAAAGAAGACATGGCTTAGAAGTTAGAAAACTCTATAATCCCCTCAAACCTAGCATATGAGATATAGATAAGCCAAGAGTTCTGAATTACTCACAAAGGCATACCAAAGTGAGAGAGAAGGACTAGAATTCTAAATACCTAAAAATTATTTAAAGGATTTATAAGCTCCTGCCGGTGATCAAGTGAGAAGAGAGAAAAGTCTCATAAAAAGCAAATAGGAAACGAGAAATGGGTTAATTAACAAGGAAGAACCAGTTTTCAAAGAAATAAAACAAAGGATATTTTGCTGAGACTCAACTTTGGCACAGGTATAAAACATTATTTAAGCAAAACTGCCGGTGTCCTATAGCCTCATCACTTCAGAAATCACTAGTAAAAAAAAAATACACTTATTTAAAATTAAAGGTTTACATGTTAACTGCATACTTTATGACTCAAAAGTGTAAAGGCTTCCTTAGTGAAATTGACATTCTTTCTCATTCCTCCTAAATGAAAGGCCTAGGTAGTAGCTATATGAGATCAATGCTTAAGGGGTACATTCACCTTTAAAAGGTCTTTCAGGTCAAAAGAACCCAGGGATTCTCATTTTAGTCAGGAGGGAGAAAGCTCTGCCAGGCCCTTTGTATCAATTTTCTCATTTAATTCTCACAATAAAAAAATGAGGTAGATAAACTCATACCCATTTTACAGATAAGAAAACTAAGGTTAGAAAAGTAACTTAGCTAAGGTCAGACCACTAGCCAGTGGCAGAATACAGACCCTCTGGAAAACATGCTCATTCATGGCAATACCCACACTGTCTCAGTTTCTTGGTTGTTCTCCAACTGATCTAGAATATTTGGACACAAACGCAATTGAAGAAATCGAGTTATGAATGCCAACATTTTATGTTCCTCCTCCATTTCTGACCTTTCACCTTTCCTAGCTCTAATCCATCCCTAATTCTTATCACACCCTTGTCCCTCATCTCTTCTTGGACTCTTGCTCCATCCCCAGACTCAAGCTGCACTGGAGTTCTAATCCCATCCCTGAGCCTCTCCCCATCTCTCACCTCGTAGGTGGGAACTACCAGTGGGAAGATACATGTTCAGGAATAAAACAATAAAGTAATTCTTAGCAGTTTTTAAAAAGCTGAAGGTTTAATGATATCTTGGTAGTAGCTGTATTACACATTCCTGATTCAAAATGGCCTTATATAAATATCCAGACCAAATGTCCTACAAATAACAACCACATTAAAATGTCTGGGGCTATGCCACAGAGATAACTAATCCCTGGGACTGTAAATTATAACAAATTCTACTCTAAGAACTTCATATGCATGTTCTTATTTGCATGTCACACAGTAAGGCAGAAGGACAGTTGGGGATAAAGCCTATACAATCCATCTCCAGAGTCCATGCACTTTGTATATTTATTACTTTCTGTTCTAAAATTTTTGTAAGTATTATATAAATGTTGGGAAATGCCCTGTCCGGTTTCAGGAACTGCAACCCTGCCGACAGGTGAGAGGGCCCCCAGGTTGGAAATAATCAAGGAGGCCTTGGGAAAACAGGCCACTGAAGAGATGAAACCTGTCCCCCTGGCAGGGACACAGCCCCTGCCTCCCTCACATCACCCAGCTTGGCCCTGTGATGGTCAGTTGTTGATGATGGGTGAGTTTCCTCATGAGGAAGAACAACCTAAGACAGACATCAGCCAGTATGGGCAGCAGACATGGACTTCAGGGACATGGAGAAAGGGCAAAAACGCCCCTGCCCCTCAGCTCGGCTTGAATATGACCAGAGTCCTCATTGTATCTGAAAGAAGACTCCTTGTCTCTTGGCAGCTCCCTCCCTCTGCCTGGCTCAGGCTCGAAACAATACTGGAGACAGTCCTAAACTAGATCTGGCCATTCCTAGGGGAAATCAGACCTGAAAGTAAAGTCTTTAAAGTATGCTTTGTTTCTCCCTCAAAAGCTATAGCCAGCTCATGCTGGGAAGGAAATTTACATTATTCACAGACCCTAACCCTATATTCTTTGGCGCTCTTATGTTTACTAGTCTCCTCTTGGATCCATGTAAATCAGTGTGTTCCTGCCATTTGTTTTCTTCAAAACATCGTCTATTCTCTGTAAACATTAACATACTGATGTAATGAGATAACCTGTGCATTCCTGTTACCCAGCCCCACGGATAACCCTTTCAATAAAAGCCTTTGGAAAAATGGGCTCGGGGCCTTCTCCACTACATAAAAGAGCCATGTCCCTCTCCTGGAAAACAGGTGTTTGCAATGACTTGTGTTTATTTTCCTCCATCTGTGACAACCCCGTGACGCGCTCTGTGGGATTCAGAGTCCATGCTCCCATCTCAGCTGGCCCGGACAGTAACCCTCAGATCCAGGAGCCCCCACGCTCCCCATGCCTGGCGACACACTCGTCCCCGCAGCAGTTGTCCCCCCGACCAGGGACGAGCAGCGACCCGCACTTGCTCCGCCGTGACATATAAATACTCAGGAAAAAAAGTTATTTTAAACTGACTTTTTTTTATTAAATTGATTGGGATGACATTGGTTAATAAAATCATACAGGTTTCAAGTATACCATTCTATGATACATGAGTTGGATATTGAGTTGAGTGCAATATGATTCTTAAAAACCAAAAGATTCTCACTTGATATTTTAAATTGGAATTGAGCAGGATAAATTTCCAAAAATTTTTGAAATGTGTGCTCCTCTAGCCAAGCATTCAATATTACTATCAATGAATCATTTACCAAATAAAATTTTGAGTGGCGTCATATTCAATAAATCTATATTTTGCATTCTAATTTTGATGCATTTAAACTCCTAGCATATTATACTTTTAGGCCTTATAAACTTAGTCTGTTTCTTCCAATTTTTTAAATAAAATTATTTATTTTTAAGAAATATCATTACCAACTTGGAGGCCAGTGTCTTATAAGACACATTGCGTGACGCCTATTTTCTGTAGCGCCAACAGACAACTCTCTTCAAAAACATGAAAGAGAAAATTAAGCTTTATAAGAAAATCACAAGTTGGTGGTAATAAATAATTTATAGAATAATAAAAATATCATTTATAAAATGTGTTATTATAACATACTATTTCACATCTTTTGGTTTCCTCACCTGAGAAAATACAGATGGTAACACCACAGGTTATATGGAATGTTCTGCTTTTATCCAACAATCTTCTGGTTCTCCTGCTTGCAACCTAAATAAAAATCACTTAATATTATAAAAATGATATAGTAAATAAGATACATGTACAAAGTTTTTCACTACAGCATTGTTTATAATATTAATGTTTTAGAAATATGGCAGAAGTCTATCAATTAAAAATTAATGAAATGAATTGTGATATATCTAATCAATGGTACACTCAAATCATTATGGAGAATGTGCGAAGAATTACTACTGATAACGAAAAATGTGTAAGGTATATTGTTAGGTAAAAAAGTTATAAAACAAATCCTATATCGTTTAAATGTTAACATATCTGTAGGCATTTACCCCAAATTGTAATCAGCAGTTGCTCTGGTACAGTAATGTTATGGGAAACCTTCCCTAATTACTTCACCTTTTTCTGGGATGTTTGAATTTCTCTATATAGAGGGTCCAGCAGAAGTAACACCTGCTGGAGCATGGTTGGTAAGGTAATAATATGGGTATAATAATTTATAGTTTTAATTTGGACATGTCACCTAAAATGTCATATGGTGTGCTTGCATGTGCTATTGTTCTGTTACAGAATTTCATGCTTACGATTTTGTAGTAAAAAAAGGGGGCATTATAAAAAAGGACACCCTGTATAAGATTCCTTTTTCTAGACAAAAAAGTAAGATTTTTTTAAAAATAAAGCAATTTCATTTATGGTTTTAAATGCCTGCTTGATCTTAAGAAAAATAAAATGTCAAGTATCTTTGAATACCTATGTTTCTCGCTAGGGGAAAATCCTTTAAGACATTAAATCCTGAGAGACATAATGGGTACTTTTCTTTTCCTGCCATTTATCTTTTCTTCCTTCATGCCAAGCCAATGGCCAACCACAGGGATCAAAATCTAGCATTTTAAAATGGTAGACAACCAAGAATTATTGCCACAAATTACCACATTAAAAATAAAAGAGTTTCCAAATATAATTACATGAAAAGGTTGAGAAGTTTTACTGTAGTAATTCCAGTCATATAAACTTCACAAGACATCAAAGTGACCTCACATTAACAGCGCTTTTTAAAATATCGATATCAAAATAAATAAATGAATAAATATCAATATCCATCCAGCAATGCCTTACTATCTTAGCGAAGAAAGGAATAACCACACATACACCACACACACACACACACACACACACACACACACACACAAGGATAACTGAAGACAAAAGAATTTCAGTTGAGTTTTAAATTTCAAAGTGCTTTTGTTTTCTTAAATACTTCATTTTATAACACTATCCAATATGACATCACCATTTAATCAAGACATCCTTCCTAAGCTTACATGGCTCAAAACAGGTTACGTGCTTTGAGAGATAAATTGCCACCAACACTAGCACTTAATCTATGTATTGCTCAATAGCCTTAGGGCTTGTGTTTGCTCAACTGGATTTACCCAAATGAAAAACAGGATCTCTGTGAGGCACGGTACAGTGAAGACAGCCCCAAACTGGGGCTGCCCTTAGCACAGACATTCCCTAGTCTCACAATCCTCAAGTTACTTAAACTCTCTATGCCTCAGGTTCTTCATCTGCAATACCTGATTGCAGAATCGTTGTGAGGATTATATACAATACAATTATACATACAATTATATACATACAATTATATATGTGAAGTGCTTAGCACAGTGCTTGATACCACTATTAATAACTTTTTCTATTATCCTCTGCTTTTAATGTTATCTAAAATAGCTCAGTGATCATCTTGAACAGTGACATGGTCTTTACCGTCATCTTTGAAGCAGTCACTCTAGGAGAAAGTCAGACCCTGAAAACTATATAGGACTAACATGCCACAGATACACTTGATTTTCATGCTGCAATCTGTGACTACAATTTTATTTTTCTTACCTTCTGGGATCCTCGAAGGTAAGCCAGGAGTGTCCGGCACATGGGTAAAAGGATAAGGCTGCAGTTGAGGTTAAGAACAGATGCAGAGGCTCTGCTTAGACACAATCCTAGCTGAACAAATAAGGCAAAGGTCAAAACACAGTCAAGGACAACAGTAAACTGCAAACATGCTGCAGACCTCACACTGCTCCTCCTTTAAGGACCATGGTAAATACCAACTCCTTCAAGAGTCTTTCCTCTCACCAAAAACCCCCAAGAGGAACTGGTCTCTTTCTGTTATGCACAGCCATAAAACCTAGTCACCTCTCATTTATAGTTCTGTTTTAATAATCTGAGTACATCCTTCCAACATGAGGTCAATTTCTTGTTCTGCCTCCACCACACTGTTCTAGGTACAAGAGCCTAGGGAACCTCAGTATATTCTTCACTTCCATACTGGTGCAGTGTTGAATCCTTTGTTTGTCGGTAAGCTACCGAGGATTTCAGACAAAGCTTTTTATTTATGTTCTCTCTACTTAATTTCTTCAATTTCTTAGTTACAGTTGACATGCTTTCTCTAGAACACTCTGAGCCTCCACGCAGCCCCCTTCCACACCAGCACCTGCCTTCAAGCTCTTCCCCTTACTGCAGTAATTCTATCCATTTTTCAGGCTTCAGCACCACTCTAGGGTTCTACCCTGACCCAAAATGAGGAGAGGTGCCAGATCAGCTGTGCTTTACACAAAGCTAATCAAAACCACATTGCACAACATATTTTTCAAAAAATCATTCCCTGTCGGTATTGATGCAATACTTTCTGGCAACTAATTTTGATCAAACTCTTGCTAGATTGTCATCTGCCATTGTGCAGGTACTAACCACATAATTCATATGAATAGTTATCACATGAAAACAAGAGACAGGGTGATGTGTATACATTTTTCCTAAAATAAATGTAGAACTACTATTTTAAGAATATTGGCTAAGAAATATGTGTAAGTCAGATGCTTTTCTTATCATGAAATGGTTCATGTCCCTGAGGTTTCCAGCTTAACTCTTGGCAAAATAGCAACTCTGTTACACATTATTTATTGTCAGCACATGAAATACTGTCCCTGAAGGGGAGACAGGTAATTAGTGTCAGGAAAGCAACAATTTTCATTTTCTTGCATAAAAAATAATTAATATTTCCAAGTAAGCTATTTCTACACTATGAGTTCAATACTGTAGGGAGACAGTTCTCTGAACTACCTTAAAAAATGTTCAATATACTTTTCTCACCTCAATCAGCAAAATTATTATCCTTTTAAAGAGATGGATTTTTGTTATTTAGGTCTCTGAAGAAATAAAATAACTTTTATCTCTTTTGATCTGGCATCTGTATATAAGAAAATTTTAGCTCAAGGGAGTTTAGTTGATATTTTTACCTGCAATTTTAATGTATCAGGATAATAATTCATTTTTTACTCATTTAAAATATATCAGCTAAAGTCTATATTTAATTTTAGGACTTAGGAGATACAAATAAGTTACCCAAATTTCCTTTGTGGTTTCAATGTTTAAAGAAAATTCTTATACTTCGTTTTCTAAATATTTTTGTGTGTCTGGAAGTATTTTATTGTTGTGTTTACATTAAACCACAGAGTAATTTAATTCAAAGTGGCTTTAAGTGTCCCCATGGGATAGATGGTTTATTTTGGCATTCCACCTCTTCCTTTTTATGCTTCAAAATGTAACCGGAAATTTTACCAAGGACTCATTTCCACATATATGTTTGTTCCAGAAAGTACTTCATTCTTTAAGCTAAGATGAAAAACTTTTATTAAGTTACCAGAGTACAAATTCCCTCATTCAAAAACAGTGGAGAAAGTGAGGGAGATGGAGACAGATCCCAGTCAAATGGCACAATCATCTACTTACCTACACGGGTAACAGTCTACAGACAAGACCAGTTGTCTTATTTGGTCATTTTTCATTCATGACCTTCTTAAGAATGAGCTGCCTCAAATGTTCACTAAAAAGAAATGGCTGCCTTAAGTTATGTGCCTTGCCCACTCTGTGTGAATAACAGTTGCACCGTTCCGGGGGGCCGTACCCTGCTAGTCCAGATTTTGCACTTCATTCAGGTCTGTTGTCACTAGATGGCAGTGCTACTTTCACGGTTAAAATCCTACCTGCCAGGGTTTCTAAAACTTAATTGAGCATTCCATATGTAATTTTTAAAAGAGTAAATATATTTTAGACAGATATTAATAAAACATAGCTTAGTCCTTGCTACAGGTAGAATGTTTGTGTCCCCCCAGAATTCATACACTGACTCCTAAAGCGACGGTGTTTGGAGGGAGAAGCTCTGAGAGGTAATGAGGCCCTGTTAGAAGACGGCTGCCTGCAACCCAGAAGGAGGGCCCTCACACTCAACATAAATCTGCTGGTTCCCTGATTTTGAACTCCCCAGTCTCCAGAACCATGAAAAATTGTTTGTTATTTAAGCCGCTCAGTCTACGCAATTTTGTTACAGCAACCCAAGCCAAGACAATCCTATAGAAAATTATAAGAAAACATGCCATTTGAAGCAAATTATAAAAGAACGTAGCATCTAGGTATATCAAGTGGACAGTTATTTTCTTAAAATCTCAAATTCATGGTTTCTCATCTCAAATTTGCCACTTGATAACTATATAACTCTTGATCTTGTTAACTGTCCTTATCTTTACAGTTGAGAAGGATAAAACCTCCTTATCTGTAAAACTAATGTAATATATGTAGCTCTTAGGACTTTTGTGAAAAACCAGTTTTTTTTAATGCAAACACTATATAAAATTAACTTACTGCCTTAGGGTCACTGTATCCCATCCTTTCTCTAAATATTCTCTTCTGTGCTTCACAGTGAGTGTTCCACTTACATTACTCATTTAAAACATCTATTGTGATACGCACATATTGCAAGGCACCGGGAGTTCAACAGTGAACTAAAAACAGAAAATGACTTTTGCCTGAGGATGCTTATATTTTAGTAGCAGAAGTAGATATTGAATTAAAGAGTTACATAATCAAATGTAAATTGTAACAGTGATCGATGCTGTGAACGAGAAATACAGAATATGAGCATGTGTAACACAACATGAGATCTCAACAGGAAGGTTCGAAACACTTCCGTGCTTAACAGTGACCTCTGAGCCTCTGAGCCCTGGAGGGTGACAGGAGGCATTATCTAGGAATGAGCAGGCCATCATGTGGGGGCGGGGGGGAACAGACACAGACACAGACAGCAGAATGGTGATTACCAGAGGGAAAGGATGTTGGGGGGAGGTAGTAGAGGATATAAGGGGGAATAAATGGTGATGGAAGGAGAGTTAACTCGGCGTAGAGAACACCCAATACAACATACAGATGATGTGTTATAGCTTGTACACCTGACTGCAACCCCAATAAATTCAATAAAAAAGGAAAAAAGACTGAATTGAATGACTTTTAAATACTTAATAAAAGTAAGATACTTATGCTGTTAAATAAGGTGTAGGCAAGAAATAGTGGGGGGGAGCGGGGTGGTGAACCATAGCATGAGAACTGATGTGCAGAAAATGGGAGCGTGGTGTAACATATGAGGAGTTACTAGTAGTCCAACGTAGTGGGTTGGAAATGGAGGGTGATAAGAACACAAAACTGGAGAGGAACAGGTAGGAACAGACCTTGGCCTTTGGAGGTCATGTTAAGAATGTGTACCTTTATCCTAAAAGTAATACAGAGGGATTTGTGTTTTAAGCAGGGAAGTAATATGAGGACATAAGTATCTGGTAATGATTATTCTGAATGAAGTGTGGAGAACATATTGAAAGTAATTTTGGCAAATTACATTCCTTTGTATAGTTAATCATCACAAAAGTGAAATTTTGTTTCAGACAAGAACTACATTTTATGGCAAATATATCTGAGTCTTTTATAAAAAAGGGATTCAGTTTTGACTAAATATTTTGCTAACTGATTCACTAAAAACATACTTCTAAAACTGGAGAATTAAAATAACCTAAACCACATCCCCCCATTAACCCAGTGTCTACCCACAACCCTGACCATAGGTTGAATTTTCCCAGACAATAGCTTATTCCACTGTCAAAGCTTCTATTTTGTTTTCTTTCATTTAGATGCAACCTGTGTCTCTATAACTTCCACCCACCAGACAGGCTACTCTAAATATTCCTAAGACAGACATTCAAACCCTGAAGATAAAAGTGGAATGTTTTCCTAGACCAATTTGTTTTCTTCATACTAAACACAATTAGGTGCCTATAAAATTCCTGATATAATTTTCACAACATCACAGTGAACCTTCCCAATTTACCAGAATTCACCATGTGCTCTACGTAGACTAACTGTAGAGAGCAGTACTGAAGGTCACCATTTCCCTCACTAAGAACAGGACCTGCTTATTCTGTGTTACATTGTAGAGTAACTATGTCACAGATGGCTCATCTTGGGTTTACAACATATAGATTTTCTCACATGAAATGCTATTACACTATAATCCCCTCTATCCTATAGAAAAAAAATGGAGGTGTGAGAGAGCAGGTGCACAAATTCAAGAACTTACTGGCTTTAGCCCATTATATTATATCAAGTGTGAATCCTGTATTCTGATGTTTACCCTTATTAATTTGCCTTTGCTGAAAATTTTACATTCCTGTTTCCTACATCTTTATCCAAGTTCTTGACAAAACTATTAAAATGTAACAAAATCCTATTGAAATAGTTTACACTAGGAAGAACTTGCAAACTACCTTTTCTGGCAAATTAACTTTTAAAAAAACAGTCTGCTTTCAATTGGGAATTTTCTCAACAATTTGGGGGAAATATAATATCACATTCTTTATGCAAACATCTATATATAACTACTGTTCAAAGATATTATAAAAGGCCACAGAAGCATTAATAGTAAGCTTTAATAATTGGTCATTTTTCTAGCTACCTCTTGGTGAGTCAATAATTAGTCACTTCTAGGAAAAAAATAAGAATAAAAATTACCATGGAAATTTATAAAATATTTTTAACATTCTGATTTTGTATTTTGTGTTTGTCTAAAATTATGTAAATTTGTACTCATTAAGGTCAATATTTTAGATTCTTTTCCCCCAAGA